AGGCCTGTTTGCATCTGTCTTGTCCTACAAGGTGTGGAGCTCATTCTCACGACAAAGTCTCAGTCAGCATGAGCCTCCCAAGCAACATCTGAGCATCCTCATGTCTGAGCCAGTTGCTGGGGAAATGCTTGGGCAGCTGACAGGCCCCTATGGAGCTCTGTTCTGTGGGCAGGGTCACCAAGCTCAACCAGAGGTTCTCAAATGAGCATGCATCCTAGTCCATGGGGGTGGGCTTGTTAATGCATGCATTACTGCCCCCCCCCCCCCGCCCCGCACAGTAAGTTAGGGGTGGGGCTCAAGAATTTACATTTCTAACAAGTTTCCAGTTTATGCTTTAAGTCAGGTTTGTACTAAACATTCATCTTTTGCACATAGGACCAGATAACTACCCAATATGGTGCTAGATCTAGCTGGACTCTGGATGCCCAGCTTGGTTTCTGGCCAGGTCATTTGACCATAATAACTTCCGTCTTCCCAGTAACTCCTGCCTGTCGGTGCATGCTCAGAGCCTTGGGCTGCCCTCCAGTGTCAATGTCCATGGTTCCTGTTCATACCTGACTGGCACTTTTGCACTGCAAGCTCCTGGGGAGAGCAGGAACTCAACCTGCTCATCTCTGTATCCCTTTATATTTTATCTTTGTATCCACCCAAGGGCCTGGGAAGCAAACACCTGACCAGTTGATCTGATGGGGAGGGTGCAGGCCAACTGGGACCCCCTGCCTCTTTGTCTTGAGGGGCAGAGAACGTGGAACAACCTGGAGTCAGGTGGATGAGCCTAGCTGAGCCAGATAGGGGCAGAGCTCAGCTCAAGACCCCATCCTGTCACTAATTCATGGCTGATCACAGGTAAATCATGAATTTTCCCTGCCTCAGCTTCCCCATCTGCAAAGCAGGGATGATAAAATAATACCTATAGTTTATAAAATCAGTACTGGTACATAGGAAGTGCTTGGTAGACGGGTAACTGTCTCCCATGCACGGACATGATTCCACTTCAAGCAAGGCCTGTTCTCTCCTTGGTGAATTCCTTGTCACCCTCCAGGCTAAGCTCAGATGTCACCTCCTCTGTGAAGTCCTCCCTGTTCCCTCTCAGGAGAACATATCATCCCCCTCCTCACCACACACTACACATTTAAAGCTCTACACTCAGTTCTAATCACAGGTAGTTGTGAAAGGCTCTGTCTCTCAGCTTCCTGAGGGCAGGGGCTGTGGTTTATTCTTCACATAGTAGAAGCTCCATTAAGGCTTGCAGAACTGAATGCACAAAAGTGAGTGAAAGCACATGCAGTTTGTGTGGTCACCATGTGGCTAGACTTCTGGAAGCCTTGATGAGGAGGGCAAGGCTGGAGGAAGGCTGGGAAGGGAGGCTGCCACTTGCCTCCTGCCACAGTGAAAGGTGTGCTAACCAGCTCAGAAATGATGGGAAGACAAAATGGGAACATGGTTCAAATGGGGACTAGGCCTCAAGCGCTGGCAATCCTTTTCTGGAGTTTAAAATTAAAAAGCTCCTCTTCCCTAAAACAACTGACCTGCAGGTTAGCCTAGTGGCCAGAGAGCAGAGAAGTCTAGAAGAGGTAAGCAGGCTTGAGTAGCCATCCATGAAGCCAACTCAGGTCAGGGTCAGGGCCTGCCTGTATTGGGCCAGCCCTTCTTCCTCCATATGCTCCTCACTCGGCCACTACCCTAAGGTCAGGGCTACCCTGGCAGCCCTGAAGTTCCTAGCACCTAAGGTGGAGGGTAGTAACAAGGATCACTCTGGGATTCCCACCCATCTCTGAGTCCAAAGGATTCTGTTTCCCAAGCTGCTGCTTCTTCCTCCAGCAGCTCCCAGAGCCCATCCAGGCAGAAGGCCTAGGTCTTGCCTGGGGAATGGAAGAACCAAGCTCACACTCTTTTAATGGCTGTCCACTCTGTTAGCAACCTGAAGCTCACAGTCCAATTTTATTTCTATTCCAGATCTACTGGCCACTCCATTCCCACTCCAGGTGACTCACTGCCCTACCCCAGCCCCACTGTTCTGCCAATCTGGAAAGACTAGAGCTCTCTGTCCCCTCTTCACTCTTGCCAAAAGCCTGGAACCTGGGCTGAGGAATGATGAGTCCTGCTCTGTAAACTGCTTTGAGCTCTCAGGATGAAAGACCGCTGGGAAGTACAAAGTCACTCCCTGCTTGTTGTTATTGTTCCTCATGAACCTCGAGGTGCCAGGGTGCCAGGGCAGAACGTGAGGTGCAGGCTGCACCCCAGAGTAGCGGAAGACTGCTCCAGGTGCCAAGCTCAGCAAGGTCAGCCAGGGGCCAGGGGCAGGGGGAGTCTGCCAATCCCCAGATGTGTCTCAGACACGTGCTCATGAGCACATCCCACCTCTGATCTGGATCTGGACAGCCTGAAGATGAGAGTTTGTTCTAGAAGCCAGGGCATTAGCTTTACCACAGGCAAGAGATGGGAAAGAAAGACCTTGCAAAAATTTCTCCGTGCCCCAGGGAATTCAAATAGGATGTGTCCAGAGCTCTCTGCTAAGGCTGCTCATCTACCTTCATACTCCTGGTCACCTGGTGAAGCCCAAAGCACCCCCCCACCCCCATATCTTCCATGGGAAGATGCAGAGTCCCAGTTCACATGGGAGCTTCAGCAGTGGAGACATTTCCATTAAATCCCAAATGCTCTTTCAAAGGTCACATAGAAAAGGCCAGTAACTTAGAATCAGATCCAAAAGTTACTCTCTAAAATAACACAGTACAGGGTCATCATTTTCTTTGAGGCCAGATCCTTCTGCTTCCAAAGTTCCCCTAAGCTTGGGGTTCTCAGGGACACAGGACTGAAGGCAGAGAATCCTTGGCCACATGGAGGTGAGAGTTAAGAGCAAAATGCATTTCTAGAGACAAGAGAGGGAGGCAGCACCTCAACTCCCACAGAGGCAAGCAGGGGTGGCTCCCAGCTGCCTGGCTTCCAGCTGTGGCATCCCATAATACTATCAGTGGACCTATAACCGACCTCCAACACTGCTACCAAGGCTGCCAAGGCTGTGCCCCTGGGATCAGGGGGAATGGGAAATAGGGGGGCTGTCCTAGATAGGCCCCACAAACTCTTCGTGAGTCATGGAGCAGAGCTCACACCTGCAGCTCTGCTCTACCCAGCCCTCCTGTGTTGAGGCAGGGGAAGAGTCCATTTCCCCACACTGCTTGGGGGTGAGAATGTGAGGGACCCCCTTCCTACTACTGGGAGTTGAGGTGCTGCTAGGTATGTGTTCAGGAGCCAGGGGGAGGCAATTAATTAATGCCCTCTTCTTTCTCTGCTTTCTCCCTCCCACCTTCCAGATTCTCTCCTCACATCTAAGCTGAAGGTTCTAGTGAATAACTTATTCACTCTTTCCATGTTACACCTCCCAAACTGTCAACCAAATGTGGCCTGGTCCTGGCTAAGACCTCTGCCCAGCTGTCAAGTGACCATGCTCTCCCCACTGAGAAAGCAATAAGAGAATCCTGATAGCCTCAGACTGGCCTAGGGGGAAGTTGAGAGGGGAGACCTCTAGCTCTGTAGGCCATTGTCATCTTAATCATGCATCCTATCGGGCTCAAATTAGACCCCTCTAGTCTAGGGATTTAAGACTATTGGTTCTCATTGCCATGGTACTTTCTCTTGTTGTCTTGTTTTGGAGCATGACTCTCTCCCATGCTCTCCACATTCTAGAATGTTCCAAACACCCAAGATTCCTCTAGTTCATGCTTTGGGTCTGTTTGGTATCTGCCCTGGAAGAAAGCATTTTGAAGAACTAGCTGGCCACTGGGAAACAGGAAACAAAAGGGTACAGGGGCAAAAAGGACAGTAGGAAAGATTACAGTGAGACATTAAGGATTTTCTCACAGGGAGGGATAGAAGATGCTGGAACAGATAATTGAGAGGCCTGTGGACTCTCCCCCTCACAACCCATTCTCCTGACCTCTGCTGCAGTGAGTACTCTATCCTTGGCAGCAGGCACGTTCTTTCCCTGCTACTGGCAAATCCCACCAGCTGAAGCCCTAGTGGATTGCTATCAGTTCAGTTCCTGCATCCTTGACAGCCAGTTTCCCAAAGAGCCCAGGATAAGTGTGTATGTGTTGGGAGGGAGGAGGGGGCTATTGGGGTTGGTTCACTGAGCCAAATCCATGGAGTTTTTGATCCTGCAAAGAGGAAGCCTGTGTTCCCTGAGGTCACAGACTAGCACAGATCGCCAATCCCATACTACCAGTGCCCAGCATGAGCTGACCACATCCCATTCACAGCTGGCCAACAGCCCTTAGGGAGGATTCCTAGACACCTGCCCAGCAAAAACCGGCCAAGAGGCAGCCTGGCCTTTAAATGTCCTTAGCTGCTTCTCTCAACTGAGCTGAAGTCAGCCTTTGATCCTTAGGCTATTCAGAATAAAGTGACCAGAGCCTTGCTACTTCCCTTTCCACCCCCTTATACAGAAATTCGGGGTAGAAAAGAGATTTGGCTAGAGTGTCAACCACTATTGAAGCTTTCCAGCTTCTAGTCAAATGCTCTTTTGAAGTCATTTTTATGTTGCAGCCTGGGGGGGACATCCAAGGGTGGGGGAAGACATCTCTCAAGATGGGCATGGTTGTTCAGAGAGTGCTAACTTGAAGCCCAAAGTCTTACCTCTGGAAAGTGCTTTGTGACTTTAACCTCAGTTAGTCTCTGTTACTCTTGCTCTGTAAAATGAGGACAGGACCACCTGCCCCGGGGTTTATGATGAGGATTAGATGGAGATGAAGCATTTGGGCATGCTTAGGCTGCTGGCTAGTACAAAGCAGACATGAATAAAACACTTGCCTGAAGTAGAAAAAAGAAGGAAGAAGCCAGGGGTTCCCCCACTGGGCCTCAAGGCAAACCTGGTTCCACAGGGAGGCTGTACACGTCCTACCTAGTCCCACTGCTGGATAGCCCAAGGCCAGATCACTCCTTCACCCTGCAGGTGCCCAGTGAAGGAACCAAAGCTGGTCTCAGCCGGTGGCTCTGCTCACCCATATAGGAGCAGAATACAAAGGCCCCCACAACGAAGACCAGAGGGGGACAACTGCCTCGTGTCTGGTCCACTTCCGAGTGAAATATGTGTCGCAGAAGCAGCGGCATCTCACTCCCAGGGGTTCGCGAGCCGGACAGGGCATCCCCTGAGTTTGCAGAGGTGGCGGGCGCTGCAGCCCAGGCTCCAATGATGGAGCAGAACGGAGGGAGGTGTGGCACGGGGTGGGGGCAACCTGAGAGCGCACGGGCTCGGGTCCCTTGGAAGAAGAGGAGGCAGTGACAGCTCCCTGAGCGCTGCGCTGCAGGCCAGGCCTCCCGTCTACGAGTCCGCGGTCTCTGTCGGTGCCCCCGCGGCGGGCTGCGCTCTCCCAGTGCCGCTCGCCTGCGCCCGGTACCCGCGGGCAGCGCTCGCGCCCGCCCCTCCGTGGGGACGCGTCGCCCGGGGAAGAGTCGCGCGCTGCCACCGCGGGACTCCGGGCGTGCAGTCCCTTGCCCACCCAGCCGCGCCGACCCGCTCGCACGCAGACACGCACGCCCTTGGTGCCTGTCACCCTGGCGCTGCTGGTTCAGCCCCAGACTCACCCGAGCGGCGCCGGGGGCGGGTGAGCGGGCGGCAGGTTTCTCCCAGCGAAACGGGGTTTCTGGGCGCGCCGAGGTGCCCTACCTTTCTCCCCGGGATCGGGCTCCCGCTCCCGTTCCCGCTTCCTCCCCTCTCGCTGCTTCTTGCCACGGCCGCGGCCCCTCTTCCTGGGCTCCGACATTTCTGCCCCAGGTCCCAGGCGGTGGGATGGCCTCGCTCTCCGCTGCCGCGCTGCGCCCCCGCCGCCTGCAGCCCCAGTACCCGAGCGCGGCGCCTTTCTTATAGGCGGTCACACCCTCCGGGGGAGGGGAGCGGCGAGCCTTAACTCTTCCCCTCCCGCGCCTGCCTCCCTCGCCCCCCCTCCCGCCCCACCGGCTCAGGCCGCGGGGGGCCGTGGGCGGCCGGTCCGGGCCCTGGGCTCCCCCCAGGACCCGCCGAAGTAGGCAGGACAGGCGTCCTAGCAGAGTGCTACAGCCCTCCTTGCCAGAGAGAGGGGGCTTGAGCAGGGATGGGGGCCTGAGCATGATTGGGGAGAGGGAGTAGAGATCCCCTAGCGAGGACCAGGCTAAGGACAGCGTGGGGGTGGGGAGACAGCTAGAGAAGGGCCCAGGAAGGGACCAGAGGGAAGCCCACTGGCCAGCTTAGTAGGGAGGAAGCACCTTGCCTCCGCAGTTGGTCCCCACAGCCTTGCCCCACTGCTGGCCTGGGCCTTCTCACGCCTCAAGGTCTGGCTTTTAGCCCCATGGGCTACCACCTTCTGGGGAATACCCTTAGCGCACCCCCCCTTGTGCCTGGCAGGAGGAGCAGCCCCTCCCAGTCAGGCTGGGCTACAGCCTGCAGGAGCTTGGGCCCTCCAGGTGGCTCATAGCCCCCTCCCACACACTCTTGCCTGCGGCTCCAGGGCCCAGGCACGAGCATGGCAGCTCCAGCTGGCTCCTTTCTGCAAGGCCTGTGAGGTGAATTCAGAGGCTGCTACACCTTCTACCCCCTCATCCACACAGCCCACAAACCACAGGGTGAGGGCTGTGAGCAAGGACACCCTGGCTCCTGTCTCCTGACTGGGTGTGGTGCTGAAAGGGTTACACTGCAAAGGCTCTCCCTCTCCTGGCTCCCAGAAAGCCTGAGCCTGCGGTTTGCTTGCCTAGCTCTGCCTGAGGTGTCCCCTTACAGCCATCCCTACTAGAATCCCAGTCAAAGATCATCCCAGTCAGTCCTCTGCCTCCTCAGCAGAGGGTCCCAGGGCTTCTCTGGACAGGGTCTTCCTTAGGTGAGCCTGCAGGAGGCTAGGGCTCTGGGTCAAGGCCAGGGATTCTGGGGCTTCAGGTTTGCCCCTCGGGGCTAAACTTGTGTGTGGGGGGGTGGGAGCACAGAAAGAGAAGATGGAGGTGATGTCCACATAGAGGACTGATCTTTGGTGCTCTTGATGCCTCAAGCCTGTCTCACCAGGGGCCAGCTCAGGGGAAACCAAATGTAAGAGAAATCCCTTATTCCCCATTTAAACTAAGGGAGAATGAATACCTACCCCACTGTATGTAGCTTTGCTCTCTGTGAAGGGGCAGCAAGAAGTCCTGGGTGAAGACCAGGTCTCATCTATCTGTCTGTCTGTCTCTCTTTCTGTCTGGTGGTGCTGGAGATTGAATCTGGGGTCTCACACATGCTATACAAGTCTGAGCTACATCCCTAGCCCCCAGGCCTCACTTATCCAACTCCCTGCTCAATCAGTTTCCAAAATGGCACTCATAACCATCCCTTCAGAGCCAGTGCAGGGACAGTGTCTTGGTTCACTTCCTTCTCCTGTACCAGGTCACCCAGCTTGAAGTCTTGCCTTCTCAGTCTGGCTTCCCCAGGATCATCAGAGTGAGCTTTCCAAAACTCAAACCAGATCCTTTCACTCACTGTTACTCATAGGTTAAACCTAATGTTAGCAATGAGTTAAACCCAAGCTCCTTACAAGGAGCCAAAGTCCTGTTCTACCAGGCCCTAACTCATAACCTCCAGTCCCTAAACCTGTGCCTCAGCCACATCTTCCTGCAGGTTTCACACATGATGCTTGGTCTGCTCTCCATACCTTTGCACACACTATGCCAAGGATGGCCTTCCTCCCCTTTTTGACTTAGCCAACACCTCTGCTCATTCAGTTGGCAAATATGCAGAAAGGCTGTCTGTGTTTCAGGCACAGCGGTAAGTGCTTAGGGACATGACTGTGAGCAATACAAACATGGGTCTTCCTAATATGAAGGTTATGGTTTTGGTGGGAATGGATACACAGCTAATTAAACAAATAATAGATTAATTAAATTTTGTGTTAAATATTAAGAAGACATATTCATTGAATAAACATTTATATATATTGATATACAGGTTAACAGAGGAAATAAACTGCAGTGAGGGAAGGCTTTCCCTGGAAAACATTTAAACTGGGGTTTGAAGAATTAGCAAAAATTGGCCAGACTAAAGGGGAGCTGGGGAGAGTATTCCTGGCAGAAGCATCAGCATGTGCAATGGCCCTGAGGCAGAAAGGAACATTTATGACTTTGCAAAATCAAAGGAAAGCCAAGGTGTGTGTGTGTGTGTGTGTGTGTGTGTGTGTGTGTGTGTGATGCATGAGTACATGTGAGGTGTAGGGAGCATAGAGGGGTGGTACACATGCTCTAAAAGGAGGCAAGAGAGGAGGCACAATGGTCAAATCAAACAGGATGTAGCAGGCACAGTGAAAACCCCAGTCTCTATTTTAAGAGCAATGGTCTGCTTCTGAGCACAGTATGGTGGAGGATGGGAGAGGCCAACAAGACCTCTTAGGCACAGCTTTCCTGACAGTCAAAAATGCTGTGGAAATTCCAGGGGGCATGAGTCCTCTCCAGGGGCTGGGGTGTACAGATAAGGCTGAGGGAGGCGGGGCTGGAATAGCTGGAAAGATGGGTAGGATTTGGATGGGAGCAGCTGAGGGGTTCCAACAGAGGGAAAGGTAGTAAAGACAGTAGTAGGCAGAGGAGCCAACCTTGGATTAACTCACCTAATTCCTTGTCCCACTCAAAGTGGGTCTGCCATCTTCATTTTGCAGATGTGAAGTAGTCAGTCTGCTATCTGACTACTTGCAGAGGAGGAAACCAAAGCACAGAGAGGTGAAGTCATTGCTATTTGCCTAAGTCAGTAACTGCTAAATCCTGGATCTTATGCACAGCCCTATGGTTTTACTGGAGAAGACAGAAGAGAAGGGGTAGGGGAAAGGCCCTTCAGGTACTGGTCCCAGGACATGCACAGTCCCCATAGCTCTAAGGCTGAGGCTCAGCCTTAGAGTGCCCAGGTCACTGGTAGCTGAAGAGAGGCTGTGGCATGCATAGGAGACAAGCCAGCAGGGTTTCTGCTGTTCTTGTGTGTGTGTGTGTGTGTGTGTGTGTGTGTAAGGATAGCTGAGTATTGGGGCACCCCCAGCCTGGACCAGAGCTCTTTCTGGGAGCTAGAAAATGATCTTGTGGGTTAGCCCGTTGCCATCGCAGGCTGTGTGATGCCCTGTACAACCTCTTGCAGAGCAAGTGAGCCTGGGACAGCAAAGCAATCACATCACCCTCGCCTATTGCACAACAGGACACTAACAGTAATATGAGTTAATTCAGTTCCTTTAAGAAGCAAAAACACAATGCTTAACTGGCTTACAAACTTTTTTTTTTTTTCCTTTTTAACATTTTCCCTTCCACTTTGAGGCCGTGCCATAGGCAAACTTTGAAGTTTAGGAAAGTTTAGACTTGTTTGAGTCATGTGCAAAAATACCTTTGAGTGAAAAGGGGAAGAAAAAAACCACACTACCCCTTCCCCCACCTGAGACTTTGGGGCTCCATGAGGCTTACCTATAAAATTCACTACAGAAGTGTTTAGGGGCCCAAGATAGAGTTTGCCCCTCTCCCCTTGAACTCACCACCCCATGGGAATTCTCAGGGAGAGCTTCCATGACCTGAGGCCAGAGAGGGCCTTAAGCATCTCTTGAGACCCCCCCTTCTCCAGGATAAGGCACCCCTGAGCTATCTCTATACCTCCATATGCTCCTGTGTGAGTTGAAAGTCCTTCGAGAAGACCAGTTTTACCCTGGGGGCCAGTCACCCCCAGTTCAGTGCTTCCAAATCATGAAGCTTCTCTTCCTTGCTACCTGCCCAATGAGGCTGCCAGAGGAGGAGACAGAGCAAAATGCCATCCCTGTGGGCTACAGAAATTCCCACTCATCCAGGAGGTTCTGTAGAGCCAGGGAAGCTCAGTCCCCCAGGACTTTAGGATGCAGGGGGCCCTGGCTAGAGCCAAGGAAGCACATGGGGGCCAGAACGTCCTCCTGGCAGGGAGAGACTCCATCCTGTTGAAGCAGAGGGACAGGCCTCTCCCCAAAGCTGCACTCTGTCCTTTAGCTTCAGCACCCTAACGTCCTTTCTATTACCCAGGTTGATTCAGGCCTCCATCCATCTCAGAAAGAGGACAGGGCAGCCATGAAGAGGAGACTATGTGGTCTGGATTAAAAGGGCTGAGGTGGGTGCTCAGTTACACACAGGGAGACATGTGCCAGACTCCTGTGCCCACCACTTCCGAAAGGCTCCAGGAATCTGGGTGGCTGAAGGAGTGGCGGGATCAAGATCACTGCAGAAAAGCTCTTGATATGAGTGAGCAGGTAATCTGGAGCCATGCACAGGCTTGTGACCCCTGGTCCTTCTGAACTGTGCCTGCTCAACACACACACACTCACCCATGAAGCATATGAACTTCACCAAGCCCTGCAACAGCAGAAACGGATGTCACTCCAAACCCAGGCCTCCACAGCTTCTGATGTGGTTTCCCCTTCCAAAAAATGGGCTCATAGGCCTTTCTGACAGGGATTTCACTGAGTGGCTGAGGAAATTCATCTTGGATCCCCCAGAAATGAGGACACTTAAAAATGACCTTCTTGGGCCACTCCCTGTACTCAGAGACCCAATAGGGCTAAGGTGTGAGGGTCATCTTCTGTCAGACTCTTTTGATCCCATCTCCTTTCCTTTTTCTCCCAGGGGACAGAAGATCAGAGTTTGAATTCCTGACCTGGCTGCCATGGGTAAGGATCCTTGTACTCAACTACACCATTTAGGAGATTCCTCTTGGCTCAGCCATCCAACCAGACTCACGAAATAATTCATGTTCCTTGCTCAGGACTTTGGTCTTTTCCCTCATTTCAGACCCTCTTTGGAGAGAGAAGGGGTGGATGGGAAGGGGCAGGCTCATCCTAGGAGAAGCTGGGAGGGACAAGGAGAGAGAGGAAAGCATTGGCCAAAGAGAGTGTGGAGAGACTCCCCTGGCTCTAGGGGCTGGGAGAAGAAAGCCATGCAGCAATGGGAGAGCAGATGAAGGGAGAGGTGAGGTGACAGGCAGGCCTGGGCAGGGCTGGGAGCAGGATGGGAGAGGAAGTGAAAAACCTGGAGCAGCCCCAACAACGTGTATGTGTGTATGTATGGGGGGGGCGGGGGGAGGATGTGAGTGAGAGGACAAAGGAGGGAAGCAGAGCAGAGGCCAGGAGAGCAGGAGGCAGGCCAGTGTGTACTTCCAGCATCCCCAGAGCTTGCTGTGTGCCCCTAGGCAAGTCATTTTTCCCTTTCTGGCCTGCCTCCCCACTTGGAAATGTGAAATTGGATTAGATGACCTTGAGTTCCTCCCACCTAAGGAACATACGGGTTCTGATAGATGAGGAAGAGATGTTACCAGCACACAACACATTCTCCTAGCCCCACGCTCTTCCTTGGCCCCCTCTCTTCTGTGGCTTCTTGGCCTGGCAGGAGCCATTAGCTGTTGTCAGCAGCTGTGAGGCTGGAGGAGGCAAGCAGGGGCTGACAGCAAGCCTAAGGCCTGGTACCAGGCCCTGCTGCAGGTGAGTTAGCAAGGCAGTCCTGTTACTAGCCTCTTCTAGGGTATAA